ACCTGTCTTTGTACATCACATTCTCATTGAAAATGACATCTCTGCTTCTGATGATCTTCCGATTTTCATAGTCCCAAAACCTGTAACCGAACTCATCACCGCCATAACCAACAAAGGCACATTTGTTGGACTTAGCATCAAGCTTACTTCTTTCAGCAGAGTCTATGTGTACATAAGAAATACAACCAAACACTCTTAAGTGTGAAAGGTTTATTTCTTTCTTGCTCCAAACTTCCTCTGGTATTCTGCCATCCAAAGGAACTGAGGGCCCACGGTTGATCAAGTAAGCTGCAGTGTTGATTGCTTCAGCCCATAGAAATTTGGGCAAGCCGGCATGTATCCTCATACTTCTGGCACGTTCATTCAGAGTTCTGTTCATGCGCTCTGCTACACCATTATGTTGCGGTGTCTTGGGAACTGTTGTCTCCATCTTGATCCCATTGTTTGCGCAGAAATCTCTGAATCTACTGTCTCTGTACTCTCCTCCATTGTCAGACCTCAACCGCTTGACTTTCAAACCAGTCTCATTTTCCACCATGGCCTTCCATTTTCTTAAGATATCGAAGACTTCTGATTTCTTCTTCAGAAAATAAACCCACACCTTCCTTGTTGAATCATCGATGAAGGTGACATAATATAGTGAGCCTGCAAGAGATGGAACTGGGGATGGTCCCCATACATCAGTATGAACCAATTCTAACCTTTCTGCCTTGGGTGTCTTGCCAATCTTTGCAAAACTGACTTTCTTTTGTTTGCCAAAGATGCAATCCTCGCATAGTCCGACATCTACATTCTTTAGATCCGGCAACTTCCCTTTTGACAGAAGTATCTTCATTCCTTTCTCGCTCATATGGCCAAGCCTTTGGTGCCATAGGTTTGATTTTCCATCAGCATCTGCTACTGCAATGATATTCTCTAAATTTGAGGTTACATAGAGAGTACCAGTCTTCTTACCACGAGCAATGACGAGTGCTCCTTTGGTAATCTTCCATTCACAACCTGAAAAGGTTGTACTATATCCTTCTCCATCAAGCTGTCCAACAGAAATCAGATTTCTTTTGAGGCCAGGAATATGTCTCACTCCTGTCAGCTTCCAGGTGGTCTGGTTTGGCAGCTTTAGTCGGATATCTCCTTTTCCGACGATCTTCAAGGTTTCATCATCAGCAAGATGAACCTTCCCAAAATCACCACTGATATAGTTCTCCATGATTTCTTGACATGGGGTGGAGTGGAAAGATACCCCTGAATCCAAGATCCATGATTCAATCGGACTGTTGACGCTTAGAATCATGGCATCACCTGTCTCCTCTGTCACGTTGGCAGATTCCTGTGCACCGGTATCTTTCTTCAGTGCTCGGCAATCTCTTTTAAAGTGACCTTTCTTGCCACAATTATAACAGGTAAAATCTTTCTTTCCCGTTCTGGATTTTTCCCGTCTGGATTTGGATCTGCCACGATTTGAATTTCTTTCTGAAGTTCTCCCTCTGGACTCCGTGTGCAAGGCTGAGGAGGTTGATGCTTCACCCGATTCTCTCCGTCGAATTTCTTCGCTCAGTACCAGATCCCGAACATCGTCGAATTTCAATTTACTATTTCCCGACGAGCTGCTAACTACTGTAACAGTAGCATTCCAACTGTCTGGTAGAGATGATAAGAGAATTAAAGCTCGAACTTCATCATCGAATTCAATTTCTACAGAACTCAACTGGGTTGTGATTGTGTTGAGTTCATTCAGGTGTTGAGCCACTGATGCCCCTTCCGTCATCCGCAAATTGAATAATCGCCTCATCAAGTGAACTTTGTTTGAGGCCGATGGCTTCTCATACATACTGGAGAGAGCTGCCATAAGACCTGCCGTGGTCTTTTCCTTTGCTATGTTGAAAGCAACATTTCGGGATAACGTCAGTCGGATAACTCCGAGGGCTTGTCTGTCGAGAAGAGCCCAATCTTCATCCTTCATGCCCTCTGGTTGCTTTCCTGAGAGGGGTTGATATAGATTTTTCTGGTACAGAAAATCTTCGATCTGCATCTTCCAAAAGCCAAAGTCCGCACCATCGAACTTTTCAATTTTCACCTTCCCTTCGTCTGCAGCCATCGCTCCCACTCGAATCTGGCTTCGTTTGGATCGTTTCTGACAATTTCTGCGAACCGCCGTGTATTAGAACACCTCCGTCGACAAACTCGTATCGCCGACCGAATTTCACTATTCACGAAATTCACTATTCACGTGAATAGTAATGAATAGTAACCTCGCAGAAAATTGACAAAATTCACAACCAAAAGCTCTGATTACCAGTTGTTAGGAAAATAAACCCAGTACAAGTAATTTCCCTATAACCAGATTAGTGAGAATGCGAAATAAAAGCGGAAAAATAATACCCGAAAATTGATAACGGAGTTCAGCCAATTGTGCTTACGTCTCCGGGCTGCTGCAGATCTTTTACTAAGAGAGAAAATTTACAGGTGTTTACAAAACACTCACTACTCACAAGAAAGCTCTCTAGTATAGGAAGAAAGAAATGTTTTGGGATGATTTTGAAGCTAAATGGGTAAGGGTATTTATAGTAGAAACTTAGGGACTAATCTTTGAAAATACCCTAAAGTGCAATGACTAAAGTGAATTTACCCATTCCTATTTTCAACAAACATCTACCAAAATTTTACCAAACTTTGAAAAACATTTTTCAAAGAAACATTTACCAAACTTTGAAAAAAACATTTTCCAAAGTTGGTTGCCAAACTTTGAAACTTTTAACAATAACCTGGGTTATCTTTGGAAGATCCGACCGCTTTCGGTCCTTGTGTAATGCTTGGATCAATTCTTTTCGCTCTTGAAAATACTCTGTGCACATTTCCTGCCAACAGAATCGAATTCCGGTACAAACTTAAGACGATCATGTTATAAGACCGCTATTTCAGAAAAAGAAAAAAAAACCCAGAAATGTAGTCGAAGACGAAACAATGATTCAAAAGAATTAGAGAAGCTTCACTTACATTGATGAAATCGTTTAGAAAACAAGTGGGAACTCCTTTAGCAGGCTTATAACACGAAATCGTCATCAGTTTCCTCATCTTTTCTGGCGTTTGAGGCAACAAAATACTAACAGCCTCATCCACGCTCTTCACTTTAAACATCCCTTCTTCCATATCTTTCTCTCCCATACAAACCCCAGCGCAACATAGCACCAACTTCTCCACTCTATCTTTAAACTGCGCCGCCATACTATAACCGACGAAGCCACCGTAACTGATCCCGACAACGTTCATAACCGTAACCACATGGGAATCCATAACCCGCATGACACACTGAGGCTGAAACTGCTCGGAACGTTCGGTTCGGGTCGTGTAAGAGTCGCCGAAGAAGAGAAGGTCCGGGACGTAGACGTTGAATCGGGACATGAGGGGCGAAATGAAGTCGTTCCATTGCCAGTTTGCCACATTGCGTTGGCGCCTGTGCCGTCTATGAGGATTAATGTGGGCTTGGATTTGATGTGAGCTTTTGGGACCCAAACGTGCATGACGGTGTCGTCGCCGAGGTCCGTTCTCGATGATGGGAGCCGGCGTTGGAATTGCCTAAAAAAAAATAGTGTTTAAGCTGGGTAAACTATACAAATGGTCATTAATATTTGAGTAAATTTTTATTTTTCCTATTAAAATTTCAAAAATAATAAATTAATCACTAACGTCAATAACTTGACATTAATCAATGTTACTGATTTAATGTAGGTAACGAAAAATTGGTGTGTCACGTTGACTGCTGACGTGGCATCCATGTTTACTCCTATTGCGGTCAAACTTGCATGGTGCAATTAATTGTTTCATGTCCGTAAATTGTTAATGGATGCAGAGTTTAATCTTTTTTTAATATAAGAAACAACGTCTAATTAAAATCCCCTTCATAACCATCGCTGTACAAAAGTACCTCAGCGGACATTAGAAGGATTTAAAGTCTAATCTTTCAATGGTTCAAAAGATGCATATCGTAGTCATTTTAATGATGAATACGCATATAGCAATAATTATGGATGATGTTGATTTACTTGAAGTTTGCAAGAGGCCCAGAAGAGAATGAAGATAAAGAAGCCTCCTCACATCCTGGTTATCCATTTGAAACGGTTCAAGTACATCAGCTTGGCCGGTACAAGAAACTCTCCTACCGCGTTATGTTCCCGCTTGAGCTGAAACTGAGCAATACTGTTGAAGATGCAGATTCTGAGTATTCTCTAATTTGCTGCAGTAGTTCACGTGGGAAGTGGACCCAACCATGGGCACTATGTTGGTCTGGTGAAAAGCCATAACCTCCGGTTATTTTTCGATGACGAAAATGTGGAGATGATTGATGAGTCTGCAGTCCAGACATTCTTCGGGTCAGCCCAGGAGTACTCGAGCAATACAGATCACGGGTATATCTTATTTTACGAAAGCCTTGGTGCAAACAAGAGCTAATAATTTTTCCGCCTCTTTCTCTTTGATTCTAATAACTTGGAAAGAGCTGGCACAGCTGCATATGAGTGAGATGAACGGGGTTATGGAAAAAATGTATACTCAGGTTGTATCCATGTACAGTGGATGGTGGAAGCGCTCTGTCCTTTTCGTTTTGTTTTCCCCACAATAACAGTGTATAAATTTTATGATGAGAACATCAGAGTTTGTATTTGTCATGGTCGAGAATGTTCTAACAATGGCAATGCTTTTGGAATCACTTCCAACTTTACAGTTAAGTTGGCTTTTACCACGATTCAAATTCAAAGGCCGATTAGATTTATATTTTCAACTCTCGATTTAATTATACTGATCCTAATTTTTTAATGGTACAATATTTACTAAAATATTAAATTGAAATAATATATATATAAATATATAATTGACTTTTATGAATAAAATCATTTAAATTGAGGATATTTCAATTGCACTAAAAATTGAAAAAAGAATAATAGGTTCCTCCGATGGAGAAGTTGCTTGCGCAAAGGGCGAAATTAATTAGCTCATGGAGCAATAACTACACAACCAAGTAGCAGTAGCAGTAGCAGGGACCAAACTAAATGCCAAAATCTATGCACTGTAATCTCAAATCATTGACGAAGAATGGGCTAAGTTCAGACATTTACAGATGAGTTATATAGCAGCAACAAAGCATTCAAACAAGGTTTGTAAGAGAATTAAGACGGAGATCGGTTCATTTAAGGCGCTGTGTGCATGAAAGTGTCGTCATCTAATAGTTTTTCAAGATCAATCAAATCTTCATCCAAATCTGTTGCTTCTCCTGCCAAGTTTAGAATCCTATTGTGCATGACCTGCCAAAGTTTGATGTTACGAGAGAATGTCATCGTCGTCATCATAATATAAATAAACTTGGTTTTCACGCATGCTTTTAACTTATTTCTGTGAAAAATCTAAACCGACTCTGATACAACTGTAAGATTCCATGTATCTAACGTCCTTTGTTAGAAAGAACAATCTATGCTATTTGGACTTGAGTGTGAATATCGAACTTGGATATGTGTCTGACACAGACACGTTCTTTTTCTTCCCCCAAAATTTTTTCAAATATTTGGAGGATCCTTAAGAGGATTATCTCCTATACTCATGCCAGACTTGAGAACTTGAAGAAAAAAGAAAAGTTGATTAACAAAGATTTCAATTACCTTCTCTTGGATCTCAGTTACAGCGTTCTTCATCCTACTATATTGATCTCTGCCTGCAGGATTGTGAGCCATGGACTTAACTCTGGCAAGGGCTTTCTGTAACCTTTCTTCGGTTTGCTTCCTGCCTTTCTTCAGGAAATCATAGTCATCCTCCTTTGAGGGTGCAGGTGTGCTAGGCCCCTTGGTGAGTGTTTCAGATTTGAATCCACGTAAACCACTTCCTTTCCGTCTCCAACGTAAGATCACCTTCTCCACAATCCCCACCGACCAAACTATCTTCCGATAGTTTTTCCTTACCTGGTGGCCTCTTACATGCGCCTTTCATAGAAAATAAACAAAACTAAAAGTTAGGGTTCAATAATTAAGATTTTAAAGGAATATGACGACAGAATATAAAGCAAGAATTATAAAAGCGATGAACCTGAATCTTGACAATTCTTTGGCGGATAATCAAAAACTCTTTTCTTCCCTTCCAACCACGAAACTTATTTTGAATGCGAATGGCAGCAGCATTCACGCTCTCATCATGTTGTCCAGGCTTGTTTGACTTGACCGCTATAAGTGAAAAAGCACGCTCATCAGACATTCCAAATTTATCATCACCATACTCTATTAACTGCCTGTTTTGGAAGGATTGCACCCTGAAGACTTGATGAATACGAGCAGCAGCTTGCGTCGCATTACAAACAGCAGCTAATGAGTCCTTTAGTGATGGGCCATCTGAAGCATCATCATAGCTGAATGGAGCTGTGTTTTGCTCCATAATTTTCTGTATGTCATCTGGTCTAGAATATGTGGTATCGTTACTACCTTGCTTATCCATATCCAGGGATAGAAGGCGGGAACTTAAATCAAATTCCGCAAGATAACCAGAAATTCCTTTATGTCCATTGGCTGAGGCTAGGTCTGCAGGTGTTCTGCTTAAAGGATATTCGGGAGTCGGATCTGTTAATGCTCCAGGAGCTGCACCCAGTGAAATAAGGGAAGCAACCGTCCGTTCTCTGATGTTAAAGACAATTCATGTCAGCAGAAGCCAGACAGACCAAAATAAGCCCATCATTGATATAGTACATAAACACACTTAAGCAATATAAATATCATTACTAAACCCAAGAAAAATTAGCCCAAGGACCATTATTTTTTTTGGAAGCCTGCAGCTCTAAAGCCTAGAATTTTACTTGATGACTCTTTCCTTCGGATAAATCATACCAAGAGCCCTATGGCATAGAATACCCTTCCTTGCTTGCATAAAAGAGGCAGCTCAGGAAAATAGTCAAAATGTTGAAAAAGAGAAATGTACGAGTGTTCCAACTTTTATTTTCAAGTTGCTTACCTGCCAGAAGATGCTGCCCAATGAAGTGCAGTCCAACCATTCACATCCCGGAAGTTAACACTCACACCAGCAACTATAATGGGTTCTAAGGCCCAATCATAGCCAAGAGCAGCTGCAAAATGTATAACACCTTGGCCACCCTGGTCCAATATACTAGGGCCTTTTCCACCTTCTGCAATCTTCTGCAAAAGCCATACACGCAACTTTTCTTTCAATAGCTTCTGAAGTAGCTGCTCCTTTATTTTTTCAGGGAAAATATCTTCTTCTGAGTTAAGCGCCAACATCTGGTCCCATTCCTCAATGTCCTCCTTCAGCAATGAATTAATTTTACTGCCCAACTGGGTTATATCAGTTAAGCTATCAGTGTTAGAATTGAGAGAACTGGAGCCCAGGCACAATAATCTATCAAACCGCATATCAAGAATTTCGGAGGCGTTATTGCTAGGGTGATCTGCAGTATCTATATCTTGATTATGACTGAATCGGAACTCAAACTCTCGGACTTCACTACATGCTAATCTGTTGGAGCACGTGACATAGAAGGGAACCCTGCCAGCCTCATGTCTTGGAGTATGGCAACGAAGAACACCGTCTGCTAAAACCTCTGCTGGAACTTCTACTTCCCCAAACATGCATGACCACTTACAATTTTTGGCCTCGTCACTACTCTTCAAGAACCTTCCAGTGACAAGAATCTGAGTGAAATTAAGAGATTGGGAAAAAAGAAAAGAAGTGAATGAATCAGAAAACAAGTACTTTCTAGATGCCACTATATACAATGAGGAACTAATTTTCGAGTATTTCAGCCTCATCAGTAGAAATTGATATTTCAATGCTGACTTGACTTGCATAAAACGAATTACAGCTTACCTTGATTTTAGAGCCTACATATGCCCAATTTGGTGAAAAATCAATAATACTGAAAAGCTGATCATGGGATAGGGAAGGACCCAGCATAAAGGAATCCAATTGCCCCCGAGAGGGAATAGAGGAAACATCAACCCCATTTTGACCTTCCACCTCATCCCAATAGGCTCCAGAATTTGAATGCGTATGCGATTCCTCTACATCTCCAAGTTCTTTACTCATCCAGCGGTTGAAACTATCAAGCTTCTTCAGACCTTCTTCTGCTAAGGAACCATCAAGCAAATGTGGTCTCATAGCAGAAGAGTAAATAGATTTCCCCTCCAGTGTCAAATAGCTCTCTGAATCTGGTTTAGGAACATATACAAGGTTTGCATTTGAGGGGTCTACCAGCTGGTTATTAGGTAGAAAATCATCATGTTGCTTTTCTGGACAAACATGGTGATTAACTTTTTCATGAAATCTAGAAGTAAGATCATATCTCAGGTCTGGATGTAACTTCTGATCCAATGGCCACTTCATTAAATGAGAAGAATTACCCTCAGAAGCCTGTTTAGAGGACAAATTAGGACTTAATTGGAAAAAGAAAAGGTAGAATATACACCTAATTTGATGCATTAAACTGCATCAATGCAACTATATCGAGTAAGGTTATAGTTTTTTAGGACCTAATTTGTCAATCACAGCTGACATGACCATAATGTGTTATCTTTAAATACTGCAATTCCACTCTTAGCATGTATAGCTAGAATTTTCAAACCCATCGCCAAAGTTTAATCAATCCATTACCTGCCGGTCTTCTTGAGCATGTGATATATCCTCAAACTCCTGCTTTTTAAGAAAATTGTTGTCAAATAGCTGCCCCATGATATCATTTTGTTTCAAGGTGAGTGGTGATTGATATTGTGCAGAGCCAACCCCGGGATTACCATTTTCCAACACATCCTCCCATAACGTGAAATCAAGGTTCTTCTGGGACTCATACGTTATTCCAACATTATTGTACTCTCTATCCTTGTCTGGTTGAGTAAGTTGAAAAGCAGTTGGAGGTGGTTTCCCATGATAATCATCTGTTAGCAGTAAAGGACAGTAGTAAGCAAAAATGGTAAGGCAAATCAACAGTAAAATAACACAAAACCAAACAATTAGCATACTTGAATGTGATGCATGAACATATGGATCATAGAACCCGGTATCCATCCTTCCCACAACAGGCTGATGTGAATCAAGAAAAGAATGGAACTGTGAACTTGCTTGATGATTATAGGCTGCATTAGATATCATCTTGCTTGGTAAGAATAATAACACACGGACTAATGCATTCATTACCCACAAAACCAACTAACATTCAAAACCACATTAAATTAGCAAATCATTTATTAAAAATTGACCCATGTTTAGCTAACAAACATACCTGATTCAGCATCTTCATAATCTGATGCCTGCACATGCGCACTGTTCATGCTTGCTGTATCCATCGTTTGTGAAGGAATCTGACTATTACTGGGATTAAAATTGGAAGAATTAGAACTTTCCCCCTCATAATATGGAATAGTTCCTTCAATCTCTTTGATGCGGTTAAAATTTGTCCTATTTCCCTGACAAAATTTCAAAAATAATAACAGAAAAATTAGAAGATGGCTCTTCACCAGAACTGTTTAAGCAATTTATTATTTATTAAAACACTAGAGAAAGAGACAAGTATTAAATTCAATTAGGTCTAGACTTCAGTAATGTATTTGAAAATCTAAAGTTACATATTGTGAAGCTAAAGACCTTTAAAGTTTTAAAAGAAGACTCAGGATCAATGTTTTTCACGACAGGGAAGAAGGTGGGAAAACATAGGAATTAGAAGACTTTTGATCCCCTCTAACTGCCAGTCTGCTGCCTTAATGGCTGTTTAAGATGATGCCTTTTCACGATGGAATGCCTAGTCCTAGTACAATGGGAGTAATTTTAAAACCTAATGTGAGTTGGTCAAAGGTAATGGCACCAAAAGACGGAAGAAAATGCGAAGCAAGAAAAATAACAATATTCAAGATAGAAATAGCCACATATGGTGTAGAAATTAAGGAAAAAATGAAAACCTAGACTGATACCATGTAGAAATTAAGGATTTAGGAACACAGATCAAAGTGATACTCTGGATTTCTTGATTGATTAGAAGGGATATACAATCCTCATATAAATAGGCTGAGTACAAGTGTTTGAATACAACTACAAGTACTCCTAGATAAGGTTCTATCCTACTTAGAAAATAAAAGGATAGAGTTATAGTTAATCTAAACTACTAAATCAAATAAGATAGAGTTACAGTTAACCTAAAATACTAAATCAAATAGGATAGAATTCTAGTTAATCTAAACTACTAAATCAAATAATTTAATGCTATTTCACATGCCAATATTCTACAGATGGGAATAGCTCAAGTAAATAATTGGGAAGTGGGACATACATATAGCAACAAACAAAATACAAAGTTCATATTGGCATGCATGCTCTCAAGCTCAAATACACACACGCCCATATATAAAATATTGCCCATGTGATATAAAATATTTGACCATCAACACGATACTTATCCTTAATTTAAGCAAAGAAAACCCAGTTCTAGGCTTGCTAAAGTCTTGCATGCTCAATAAAGAAATCAAGTGAAATGAACACAATTAAATGCATTAACTTGTTTTAGGGCATTCAGATTCCGGATTGTACCACTTCAAGAGGTACAAATGAAAACACAAGATGTTTTCAATTTATATCAGCTTTTAAAAATTCCATTTTGGCTGGTTGATAATATTGATAATTCTGCAACCATACAATCATCTAAAGCTAAAAATATATGCGTTTAAATTTATAACTTTAATCAGTTAAAGAACCTTTCTTCAAAAAAGAAAATCAGTTAAAGACCCTTCTAAGAAGTGAAGCAACAAAAAAAAGATACTACCTTCCCATAGTTCTTTCAAAGATGGATAAGCATATGCGGGAAGAAAAAGAAAAAGGCGATAGAATGAGGTCTGACCTTTACATCTCGATAGTGGACAAGAACAATGTGCGACAGTTCCCTATACATTTAGTGAATAATGTCAGCAACCAAAAAGGGATTTGTTAAACTAGTATTGCAACAGAGAAAATAATACAGTTTCAAGCAAATAGCACATGCATTTCAAACCAAGAAAACATGATCCACATTAGCAGAGAATTTATTGCAAAATTAGAAACCTCAGCCAATTTAACATGCTAAATATTCTATCATCATAATGCAAAAACTACCATGAAAATAAAAGAGATCTTAGGTTCAGTATTTCCTTACATTAACTTATTGAAGGTGTAAATATGAGTTTATTTTTTAGTAAGTTCCGTTTTCCTAATTTTAGAGATGAAAATCAAATTGATAGAGAAAACTTTAAAATATCAGAATTAGTGAATGCAGGTAATATAGAAGCACCCTATAATGGAAAAAAAGATAAAACCGGTTCAGCATAGGCATAAGCAAAAGAAAAAAACCCAATACTGTGTAAAGAACTCTTTCTGTGTATCAGCTTAACTTGCTTGAAATAAAGTAAATCCCAGGTTCAAAACCTAGTAATAGAAAGATTAAAGGACATGAGTATGAATTCCAGGACAATAAAAAAGTTGATTGCTTTGGACTCATAGTGTTGCCATCACATACTTTTAGACTATCAACTCCAATGCAGAGGAAGACTTTATTTTTGTAAATCACATTTAACTATTATTTATTGTGCAGTGAAGTGTAAGAAACAACTAAAACTGAGTATTTAATGATTTAAACAGAATATATAATCCACACAAAATACTGTCAACACAACTACTGCCCCTTGGAACATATATGTTTAAAGACCTACTCTTCAAGCATCCAATAACTGCGCCTTTGGAAGTTTTCATCATCTTCTCCATGAGCATAGTAGCAATGCAGAGCATCAATGTTTCCAGCCTGAAAAGATTAAATTTTTCCAATTCTTTTTCAAAATGATAATTTCATTCAAAATACATTCATTCTTCCCACAAAAGAATTCAAAAAGATATATAAAAGAAAGTTTTCCAATCATTGATTCTTACCTTGAGTCTCTCGTGAGCTTCCTTCACTGTTTTCCCATCCTTTTTCTTCCTCCAGTTATGTCCGTCCTTTCTAAAGTATCTCAGTACCTTTCGGTCAAAAAGAAAAAGTGAACCACCTGAAAAAGAACACATTAAGTTTGGAGAACTCAATTTGGGATGTTAGCAGTTTAAATATCAAAACAACCTTTTCAATTTGGGATGTTATCATATTTTAAAAGTCAAAACATCCACTGATTGAATTTGGGATGTTAATATATTTGGTTGAATATCAAAACAACCACTTACTAGAAGTAAACCTGTTATGCTCATGATTGGTGAGGGTGATGAATCTATCCCAAAATAAGTAATCTAAGTTCTAAAAAAATGTATTAAGAGGAACACTGAATTGTATATGATTTTGTTATCAATAAAGAAAAATTATCAATCAAATAATAGACTAAGTTAATAACCCAAATAAATAAATAATAGAAAATAAGATATGAGTAGATCTTAGGAACAAATAAGCCATTCAAATTTAGATGACAAACTTGTGATGTAACATCCTCAAATTAGAGTACTGCAAACACAGAAAGAAATGCATTCTGAGAAAATAAGAAATAAAAATTAACATTCTTTGTTCGAGTAAAATTTAGCTACAGAATTTACAACATAGATGGTTTTATATCTGAATTATAATCCAAATGTGATTTTGTTACCTAAGAAATGGATCCAAGGAATTGAAGAACAACACATTCTCAATGAATTTTTGAGTAAAGAAAGCTGCAATCTCACAATTTAAAGCTATTGAGAAGATATTAATGGAAGCAAAACAACAACAACAAAACCCTATTCCCATATGCAATGGGGTAAGGGAGAGGTAGGGTAGTAGGCTGCCCAACAACAGGTTGAGAGCAACTTCCGTGGAAGACCAGTAAGAAAATTAAAAATAAAGATAAAATACAATTCATGTTTGCAAGAGAAATAGAACTCAAAAATCATATGAGCCATGTTTGCATGTTATCAAGATAAGAATCAATCTACATCAACTAACAACATGAACCATTACAATGCAATTAGAAGATCATACTTGGTGGCACATGTGCTGGTTCGGGAGCAATGCGAAATTGATTATAATTTCTAAGAATTTCACATATTTCAGCTGGTCGTAACCACCTATGCTGCGCTTCCATGAGTATCTGCTCAATATCTACACCCAACAAGATGAGTCATTCAAATCTTTGCACATACCTTAATATCAAGTAAAAAACACCAAATTACTCTAATCCTCACATTAACTTCATAATGAAAAAAGATTCTTCATACATTTTTTTATACAAAATAAGTGAAAACGGTTACGTTTGCTTTTTAATTTTGACCCAAGATCCTTTCTTTTCAACAAATATTAACACCTCTTGAGCTTAACCATTTTTCTTCTGCATAAAAGGATTCGAATGAAGCTATTTATTCCATCTTTCAAATCAAATCTCACAAAATAAAAAACAAATTAAAAACCACCTCGTGAAATAAAATATTTGCAGAATGGAGTAAAGTGAACATCAAATGCAGTAAATTAAAACATGACAAAATATAGCGGGAAGAAAAAGCAAGATTCTACTTTCACTAAAAACCCAAAATGAAAGATAATAGAAGAGTCAATTCCACACGTACCCACTTGATTAGTAAGGCCATAGCGCCTAGTATCTGCCATAATCTTGATTTTCTTTCTTCTTTTTTTCTTTTTCTGTTTTCTGTTTTCAACCCTTTCACTTCGCTCAAAAACCCTTCAATAAAAGGTCATTTTAGGATTGAAAAAACAAAAAAAAAACGCGGTTTTTCGGTATGATCATAACGCACCCTTTGTCAAAGAGAAAGAGATAGGAAATCGCCGAGGAGATGGATGGAAAGGGGATTATCGGCGAGGAATCAAAGTGTTAAGACTTCCTTCAGTCAACTTCCTGACGAGAGCACGGCATTCTTTATTAAGAAAAAGATCCAGTCATTCTTTTTCCTTTCTTGTCATATCCTTATATAGCACTTATTTCATTATTATTTTAATTTTTAATCTCAATTTAGAAAACACTTTAAATATAAATTATATATATATATATATATATATATATATATGAAAAGTAATTTTTAAGTGTTTAAATATAATATTAAAATCTATATTAATTGAGTGATTAAAAATAAAACTTGTATACGTTGAGTCTGATTAGAACTATGATTCCTTTAAAATGAAATAATTTTTTATAAATTATGATGAAGTCTTTTTAAGATGTATCAAACAATTTTCGATAAAATACAACAATTCTTTATTAGCTTTTGATGCAATATCTTATTTTGTAGTATCCTAAATTCGATTCAATATATTTTTTAAGGATAAAATTCAAATCATATAATTAAGATTCAATATATTTTTTAATCGTATAATTAAAAAGTGAAGACCCACAAATTAAAACAGTTATATAAAAATATAAATTGGTTTAGAAACCTTAATCATTGAGCTTGGTTTAAAAAAGCTCCATCATACACGCCTCATGCGTGATGTAACCGTTGTACATAATGCGGCTTGATGCAGTAGGAGTACATAATGCGGTCCGATGGGATTATTGATTTGGTGTGAGTTAAAGATTAACAACAACAAATACAGATAAAAACCTGACTTGGTTCGAGTTGGTGTGAGCTGGAACACCACTGAGTCAAGTCGAGTTGAATACTTCATTGTTAAAAAACAGATCTTTGAGGGTGAAAAAGTAAATCTTTCATGAAAATTCCAAAAAGGAACATATTTTGATATTTGGGTTGTGAAGATAACTCACTCAAGTAAATCAAAATAGGGTTCATAATGCCTTGAGGAAAAGGAAAGTTTTGAGAGAAACAATGGGGTTTCTTGATAGAGAAAATGTCATTTTTAGAGAGAGAAAGAGAAGATTCAAAGATTGTGCTTTGTCATAGACGATTGGTCGGGATGATATGCTTTGCTGGAGGTAGAAGAAAATGGAAATGTTCAAGGGTAGAATGGGAATACCGAACAAAGTTGACCGCGAATATTGAAAATGGTGAAGCATAAGAGACGAATATTACATCGGTTGATGATATGATTCGCTTTGAGATTTACAAAAATATCCTTTTATGTTCTTGTTGTGTTTGTATTGGTACAAATATGTGTAAAATATTAAGGGTAAACTACACGTTTAGTAATTAACTATAAATTTTGGTTTATTTTAGTACTTAAATTTTTAATTATTTTTAAAATCATATTTAGAGTTTAGTTTTTATTTCATTTTAATACTCCGTTTAAAATTTAACGTTAAATTTTGAAATTCTTTTTGAAAGTTTAAATATTAAAACGTCCAAAACTAATAATTTAAGTATTAAATGTGTTAAATTTTTAAAGGCATAATACTAAAATGAAACAAATAGTTTAGGTTCTAAAAATGTAATTTACCATAATATTAATATATTTTTTAATTTTTTTCTTGTAATTTATTTTTTTCATGACCATCAATATTAAAAACTTTGCTTGAACATTTTATCGCGTCAGCAAGATACATTATACTAAATATGTCTTTTGAAAAATACAACTCGAATAATATATCTTTATTTCATGTATAAAAATATTTTTTCTAAATATTCTTTTAACTGTTATTTTCTAAAAAAAAAATTACATAATTTACCCTTATATTTTATATATATTGATGGGATTTTGACCACTATTTAAACAAAATACAAAATAAAGTAGAGTTGATTTGTCTTTTGGTTGTTTTGATTTTCTTACGAGTACTTGTCTATTATGTTATTCAACATTTATGAAGTACTATTAAACTACTTTTGGTATTAATTGAAGTATTTTTATATATAAGTATTTACATGGTATAAAATTAATTCAAAAGTATTTTTTTGTGAAAATTGACGCATCGAGTTCGTGATGCGAGCGCATCACACATCAGATCCCGGGACACTAAACGTATTAGAGCGCATCCCGCATTTTAAAATCAAGTCATTGAGTAAGAATTACGATTAATACATATTCGACTAAAGTTAAATAAGCATTGTCAATCATACTTATTCCATCAAACACACATGACCAAGATTTAGCATGTCAATTTCTAAATTTGATCTTTATGCAACAATAAGGTATCAAAATGCTTCTAAACATATTAATTAAATAATTTCGAAACTTTATATTCGTCAATTATCACTATCTCTTTCGTTAATTTCTTCGATCATATTATATCATAACATATTATCATGTATATATGGGTAAACTATGCAAATAAGTTTTTATTTTCACCACTAATATTTCAAAAGTCACAAATCGATCATTAATGTTATCAATTGTTATAAATTAGTCATTCAATGTTCACTGCTGATAACCTCAATTATGGAAAAGTAAGCTGGATCGTTAAACGTTTATATGTACTATCAAGTGCCATGTTTGAGAATCCGTTTGACTCGTGTTGACTGATGTTTCAACTAATTATAGCAGCAAAGTTCCATCGAAAGCCTCTCTCGCTTTTTCTTTCCCTTGAATCTAACCTGTCCCGTTTTCAAACCATATATCTAATCCTGACCCGTTTGAAAACCAATATCGTTTCCGGTTCGGTATTTATTATCTGAGTCGGTGGGAACTGAAAAGTTCACATTTTTAATGGGTTGCGCTCAGTCCAGAGTAGATAACGGAGAATCGGTGGCTCGTTGCAAGGACCGTAAATGCTTAATGAAAGAAGCGGTTGTAGCTCGCAACGCTTTTGCAGCTGCCCATTCTGGGTACGCCATTTCCTTGAAGAACACTGGAGCTGCCTTGAGTATGGCCATGGAGAAGTTTAAGTGCCTCTCCTAAACCCTCAATAAATCCCTGCTCCTCTTGACTCTACTCCTCAACCGCCTCTAATGATGGATAATATCCCTCCACCTAAATTCTCCCCTAGCCCCGTCACCATCAAACGCACTGTTAGTATGCCCGCAATGCCCGTCGAGAGTCATAAGGAGTTTGATGTTTCCATTGCTATCGAAGAAGATGATGATGATGAAGATGAAGAAAAACATCATGAGGGAAATGATAATGATAATAAGGAAGATTAGAGAAGATTCAAAAGGGTCCTGTCGGGAGGAGATAACTCTCACAAGGACTCTTGAGAACAACAATGTCGACCACCGACCGAAGCTAAAAACGTAGCTTGGGATTTGATAAAAAATTCAAGAGGGTCCCTTCGGGAGAAGATAACTCCCACAAGGACTCTTGAGAACAACAATGTCGCCCACCACCTACCGTCGATGCTTCCTAACTTAACGGTCTACCTCTGCTGTTGGGGTCCCAGTTCTCCTTCACATCTGCCAACTTCCATACACAGACATCTTGCTCGATTTGCAGAGAAGTGATGGCGAGAACTTTAAGTTTAGATGACGTTACTCCTGTTGACCAAGTGCTAGCAATGAAGGAGAGGCAACATGAGTCACACAAGTTCTCCCACGTGGCACTTAATAACAATACAGATAAGCGTTTAACGATCCAATTCACTTTTTCTAACTGTAACGTGAAGTGATCAATTTTTTTCTTCAAAAAAAATACATAATATTTAGTTTTTGTTTCATTTTAGTACTTACAATTAAAAAAAGTAATGCACTTAATACCTAAACTATCAATTTTTGTCCATTTTAGTACCTAAAATTTCAATTCTTTTCAAAACCTAACATTAAATTTTGAACATAGGTATTAAAATGAAACAAAAACTAAACATTAAGTATGTTTTTTGAAAAAATTTAAAGTTAAGGTACTAAAATAGACAAAAACTGATAGCATGTGTACTAATTGCATAATTTACCCTAAATTTTATTATGGATAAAAATTATTCCTTATTTTAAAGTCAGGAGTACAAAAAGTTCAACTAGATACCAATTATTTTAACAGACACAAAAACCTAACCTCTTTAAGCCAGATATACGACTTTCCATGTAAAACAAGGCCTCAAAATCAATACTAGATGGTTTGAACAATGCATTAACCATTCATAAAGTTACCGCAACAGGTAAACACTCTCTCCACATAATGTCGCAAAAATTTAAAGCATAGCATTCATGTGATATCCATTAAAACAAAAGAGTTGACTTGAAAATTGAGCAATCAAATTTACCAGCTGACCGAAATTCTAAAGCTTGTGGCACAATTTAAGCTGCAATGGATGGCTTAGAGGCAGCAGAGAGTCTGGATCTCTTCTTGGCCAAGCTCTCGCTCCTGCGTTCACGCTGCTCCTTCAACCTCTGGGCAAGAAGCTTCTGATACTCGGCCGCATCAGCCTTGGCCTTTGCAACTCTCTTCTTCTTCTCTGCAATTCTAGCACGCTTCCTCTGCAAAGTCAAAGGAGTCACCAGCCTTTGAATTTTGGGAGCCTTGCTCACTTTCTTACCTGCATTCCGAAAATTTATTTTGATTTTCCATCAGTAACATGTAAGGGCAAGCTTTTCAACAAAGATAAAACACAAATTAAAGTTCTCTCCCAACAACTTGAGAAAAAAAAATTAAATATTTTCCCACTAACCAGATTTGGTTGTAAAGGTCCGACGATAAGTGTTAACATACTTCCTAACATCATCCTCCTTAGAGAGGTTGAACAACTTTCGGATTTTTGAAGCTCTCTTCGGACCCCTCATTCTTGGCTTCTCAGTGTCGGTCAACCCAGGAAGATCATTTTCACCCTTCTTCACAATAACCAAGTTCAGAACTGAAAGATCCTGACTAACAATGCACCCACGAACTGACTTCCTCCTACGCTCACCATTTCTCCTCCCGTAACCACGGAAGCAGGGGGTACCTGTTAAGATAAAAACAGCCATTCAATAAATAAAAATCCATAACAAAACAATTCTACACAAAAAATATTTTTTTTGGGGGGGTGTGGAAAATTTCGAGTTCAAAGACCTCTGTGAAGCAAAAGACGAACACGGCCAGGTGTAAGAACTCCTTGCTTCATAGGAAAGCCTTGCTTGTCACAGCCACCCATGATCTTGAATACATAGCCCTTAAACTCCTGTTCAAGGATAACAAGGGAAGTGCAAGTCAGAGTTAGGATGGCGAGATTTGCTAGCAAAAATTCAAGACACAGAAAGAGACGATAAAAGTAAATCCATCACATACCTCACCAAGGGCATCACCACTGACTTCTTGTGAGATCCTCTTGTCAAAAAAGGCTCGGCTGTGATTCAAAGTCAGAAAATTTCTCAAGCAACAATTAGAATTGCATTGCCAAAAAATATTGAGAATACAACCAAAGACAAACCAAGCCAATAACCACATACAAAAAGGTGGTTCCAACTTCCAAAATAAAACAATATTCAACAAAATTCTCGGCACATACTTTAACAGATGTACAAACATCTCATGAAGTAGAAGAGCGTTTTTTCTTTAACTCGCTAGCCAAAAGTTCTTTCAGAATAGAATGACATATACTACTAATGAAGTTTCAATAATATAAGAAGCTGGAAAAAAAACGTTCAAAGGAAAACCCACCATCATTTTGACCCTAATGCCAATGCCGCACACAATTTATGCCTCATATAAAAAACATCCAGATTTCTTAAGCAAAAACAATGTTATTCAGTTTTAAAACCTTCTCTGCACATTCTCTAAATACTCTACAAATTCGATTTCAGCATGTCTAACAGAGCATAACAAATAGCGTCCCGAATGTTGATAGACAAAAGAAACAAAATAATTTTCCATTAAGGTTCTCACCGGCGAAATACGAGCATGGAATTCAACATTACTATTCAAACTGAAAGACACAGATAAACTTAAAACCCACAGAATGAAAAAAGAAAATTACAGTTTCTGGTCATCGTCGATTTCCAGCTTCTTCTGGCAACCAGTTGTTGGATTAGCAATGTTGAACTGAAACAAAGAAAAGATAAGCAAAACAACATTTTTTTTCTTATAAAAATAAGATGAGAACAAAAAAAAAACCTTCATCTTTGTGAGATGGGTGCTTCTTTGGCTAACGCCGCCGCTGGTGCTGCTCTTTTCTAGGGTTTCTTTAGAAAGAGATTGGGATTATACAGACAACTTTATATGTAAAAGAGAAACTTGGTGTTGCAAAAGGATTTGTGTGCCATGTCTTTGAAGTTTGGGCTTTGAGTTCATCTGCTAAAATGGACTTTTTTGGACCAAACCGAACATAGTCACTTCTATTCATGGGTGTCCAAAACAAATTACATGATTCCTTTATTTGAAAAAAATCCATTGTTGTCTATGTTTTTATAGATAATTTTTCCCCGCTCTATCAGTAAAATTATATCTTAAAATCATCATCATAAATTTATAACCGCCTGTAAATACCTCTACGCTTGTTAATATAATAAAATAGTCTTTCTCTTTTCTTCCTATCAAAGAGAGAATCTATTTTACTTTCCAATTTCAACATAGAATGATTCTTTATTCAAATCAAAATAAATAAATTGTATAACCATTAATTTATTTACCTCTTTTTTCAAAGTATAAATCATTATTAATCATCAAGTGATCACTGATTTGTTTACTTCTTTTTTATTGTATAAATCATTATTAACCAGTTCTCCGTCTGTTATATATTAATATCACTACGATAAATATAAATATTTTTATTAAAAAATAGTTAAATAATAGTTACTCAGACATACGATCCCACTTTTAAGAATATTTACCCAATAAAAGCTTTAATTTAAGAGAACAAATTGAGTACGCAGAGTTCCAATTCAGCTTTATAATATTTTAAAATTATAATAACAATTTGTTTAACATAATTTAATAATTATGTATCTTTACTCGATAATATGTACCAACGCGTCTCACTTTAGACGCTATAATGCATATTTCACTTATATAGCGTACAGGTTCGTATTTACCCAACTCACTCACATAAGCTTAAGTAATTAAAGATACTAATCATATCGTTAAAGATACTAATCATAATCTTCACATTACTGGCTTACAGCAGTTGGTTGATTAAGAAATCATATTTAACTTGGAGCTCATATCCGGGGAACTTGGAGTTGTGGGGTGCAAGCAGATCAAACCAGAGGCAAGCTATCTCATCAAGTCCTTGGAAAAGGGAGTAACCATGATCGCCTCCATGTTCCACTTTTACAAGCTTCCTTTCATTGTTGTACAAGTAACTTGCAAACGCCTTCGCCCTTTCTTCATAAAGGCTTCCTTTCATTGTGTACAAGTAACTTGCAAAAGGAAATAACAAGAAACAATGAGAAAATGGATTCCTGGCCACGTAGAGAAAATCCAGCACAGCAACGTGGGGCTGATGTATAGTACCCTGCGTAGGTCAACAAGGACTGCAAAATGCCATCTGCGGGGCTGGTCATCAGACTCTGTCGGAGTGAGATGCTCAGATCCGAAGATGGCGGGGTGAAACTGGCTATAAACCTAGGCCCGTAGATTCTTGGGCATATCTGTGCAAGACAAGCAAAATAAGAGGAAGTACTACTACTACTACTAGACTGTTATCAAGAAAGGGATCTGCAACTAGTTCTCTGCGGCACCGCCAAAGATAGTGAGGTTCGCAACCCGGCACTTACCTTCCATCCTGTCCCTCTGGCACAACATAGCGTAGTGCCCATAGGCCTGCTGTCCATCTATGAAGGCTGCAGTACTCTGGGACTTGAGCTTAGAGAGAGGGAGAAAGACGTCTTCAAGGTGTCAGATGCCCCACCGCTCACGAGGCTGGTTGCCTGCTCGACCATCTGGCAGTAGAACCCATAGGCGTTCGCAACGATGTCAACATTCGCTTCGAGTATGTTCTTGAGATGCTGTATGGCAAGGTAGCGGTTGTTGACCCATGGAGGGATGGTCGGGTGCCTAGCACGAGGCTGCACCAGGTTGTCAGTGGACGCCCCAAAGGGGTAGAGCTTAACCATAGTGATCGCTTCCTCCAGAGTCACAAAGTCAGTGGTGGCACCACACATCTCATACATTGGGCGCACAGTTTGGAGTAGGGTCTTGTAGCTATTGGCAGCGCGCATCTCGGGTTCCAGGGCGGGGAGCCTAGAGGCAGCTGGGCCGGCGTTTGCATTCACTAGCATCTGTGCGGTGTTCTCATTATATGCAGTCGTATACTTGATGGTCAAGTTGACAGGGTGGCAGCTCTTGTGCCATAAAGCATCCTGGATCATTGTGATGTCGTTCTGAAACCACTCAGTAACCCCCGTAGCCGACCAGTACGCCCTCTCCATCACAGCATATGCCTTCCTTGACTGGCTATTGGGGTCATTCAGGTAGTGGTGACCTGTCATAATAAGTGAGTAGCCTTGGACTGGAATGATCCCGATCGAACACATATGGAGAGTGGCTACGACTGCCCTCTCTGTGTCTGTGAGGTCGAGCACAGCAGTGAGGTATTGTCTATAGGTGGCTGGCACATCCTCTGCAATAGTAAATCCCGTTAAGCGTTCCCCATCAAATGTCGCACTGACATAGGAGTTCTTCATCTCCTCTGGGATGAAATCGGGCTCAGTCAAATCATACATCTTTGTTGAAACAGCACGCGCCACACCGACGATGATTGCCATCTTTCTCAGTTGGTCATTAGTCCAGGCCACTGGCTTGCTCTGCATCAGCCCAGCTCTGGCTATGCGTATGAACATCGGCACGTACTCCAGTGCATGTTCGGGCGGCAGGTTAGCGATAGGCCTCCAGTGCCAGATCTCCGGGATGCTGGCCTTCACAAGGAGAGACTTAGAGTCGCTCAGGTTTCCATTTTTGATAATGAAGGCGCTCACCATCTTGATCGGCCCAACATCATCGTTGAGATTGAACAAGGTCCCATCTATCATCACGCTCTCCGCAGCCAAACCAGGTCTGTTGTTCGCCCTCACCCCACTCCCACCTACCGCTCCAGCTTCCGAGACTGTTACTGGCACAGCTCCCTCTCCAGGGGTTTGGGTGTTGGCCATTCTCCCTAAAAGTTGATTCTAAAGACTAAGAAAGAAATGAAGGTAAAGAAAAGGTATATCTAACTATTATAAGTAAGTCAAATCAATAAGGGATTCCCTTATTGGAAATCAGCAACGAAAAACCAGAAAACACGATTCCAAAATCAACAAGAATCAAATAAAAAAATCCATACAGGAAAAATAGAGAGAATAAGCAGAAAAGAAAAAACCATAGAAAATGTGTGGATTTTGTAAAAAGAAAATAGGAGAGAAACCCTTAAGGAAAACCGAGGCTTTCTTTCGAAAGAAACCTCCCTCAGATCTTTGTATCCCGCCGGCGAAATATCTTTTTCGATATGAAATCTTTATTTTTCAGATCTACTCTTTTTTAGACTTCTTTTGTAAAACGAAGTTTAGATTTACATTTAGGGGAGAAAAAAGAATCGAGAGGTGTTCCGTTACCTTTTCAGTAGACGACAAACGGCGGGTCGGAGCTAACTTGCGGTGGTTGGTACGGCGAAGTGGCGGCCGGTTTCTGGAATTCCATATGAACACGAATAACACCAAGGGATGTTCAGAGGATTTTGACAACAAAGGTTAAAATTCAAGTTTTTTTATGAAAGTAAAATGATTTTTGTTTTCATAAGTTGAGCCTTATAGTCTCATTAAAGTGCCCATTAAGGGCCTCCGTGTTTTTTAAAAGACCAAGAGAAAACCATTATCGAAGTACCCCTTTTTTTCTATCCTTTCATGTTGGTCCTATTTTCATATATTTTCTTTCTGATTTCGACCTGTATTGCTTCGTCAATTTCATGTTGGTCCTCTTACAGCTCATGGTCTTTACTGGGCAAACTTTACTCGAGTCCCTACAACTACGTCTCAGTTTCGATTCTGCTCTCCATTTTATTTTTCGTTAGATTTAACCACTGTTTTCTTTTCTTTGAATGCTTATTTTTAGGAAATATACCTAGTGTGTTTTATGTCTGTGTTTTGTTTCATGTGTGATAGTTAATCCCATTTACATCTTTAAATCTACATTCTTAATTGTTTGCGTATTACACGTTTAATTATTCCCATTTGCATTTAATTGTTTTAGTTTTACGTTTGTTTTCTGGAATGTTTGACTTTACCTTTATTACCATCTTAAAATCCTCGCAGCTATTTAAAGTCTCATTTAGGATTAATTTGAATGTTAGCTGTTTGGTTTACTTTGATCCTTATCCCTTATTTATTTTCGCCTGTATATATATTAATGGGGGTAGTTCTGCTGTGCGGCGCTTAAAAAACGTTAATATACGGCGTGATCAGTTAAATAAGTGATCGGTTAAAATTTAGATCGGTTATGTTATATTATTTAACTGGAAATATTATCAAGTACAATAACATATTAGGTAACACTTATATAATGTAATAGATAGCGCTTATATAATAAAATAGGTATTTAACCGAAAATATTATCAAGTACAATAACATATTAGGTAGCGCTTATATAATATAATAGGTAGCGCTTATATTGACCTATTTTATAAGTAAATAGATATATTTATACCGGTAATATTGCAAATTTACCTATTACATTATAATTATCAGTTTCGATATTTTTTGGATCGATACTTTTTATAAATGTATCGACACTATATGCATTCACCTTTTGTCATTTATAGACCGATTTTATCATATTTTTACATGTTATATTATTATGGATCGATACATTTTTATAAAGTATCGACACTTTATTGGCGCTATAACTTCTTCTCTTATTAATTCCAAAAGTGTCGATACTTATAATAAATTATCGACACTTTCAACATATCTGGTAGCGCTTTACCTGTTTTGTCATTTCAAGACCGATTTTGTCATATTTTTACCTGTTATATTGTTTTGGATCGATACATTATTATAAAGTATCGACACTTTATTGGCGCTATAACTTCTTCTTTTTTAAATTCTAAAATTGTCGATACGTATAATAAATTATCGACACTTTCAACATAACCGGTAGCGCTTTACCAGTTTTGTCATTTCGAGACTGGTTTTGTCATATTTTTACCTGTTATATTGTTATAGATCGATACATTTTTATAAAGTTTCGACACTTTATTGGTGCTATAACTTCTTCTCTTTTAAATTCCAAAAGTGTCGATACTTATAATAAATTATCGACACTTTCAACATATCCGGTAGCGCTTTACCTGTTTTGTCATTTCGAGACCGCTTTTGTCATATTTTTACCTGTTATATTGTTATGGATCGATACGTTTTTATAAAATATCGACACTTTATTGGCGCTATAACTTCTTCTCTTTTAAATTCCAAAAGTGTCGATACTTATAATAAATTATCGACACTTTCAACATAACCAGTAGCGCTTTACCTGTTTTGTCATTTCGAGACCGGTTTTGTCATATTTTTACCTGTTATATTGTTATGGATCGATACATTTTTATAAAGTATCGACATTTTATTGGCGCTATAACTTCTTCTCTTTTAAAAAAGGTAAAATTTACCTGATATGTTGAAAGTGTCCATACTTTTTATAAAAATGATCCATACTTTTTTTAAAGTTATGTAATTTATGTTTCAATTTTTTTTAATAGTGTTTCATGTTTTCCACCAACAATATTAATTTAATAATTTCATTTACACAAAAATTTATTTGATTGTTTTGATATTTTATAAAATATTATTTAGAATTTAAATTTAACAATATGTTTAGGTAGAAAATGTATTGACACATATTTAGGTAGTTATTGTACATACCTAAATATGTACTACGAATTTAATGTTGTACCCACCCTTTAACTACCATTACCAATACAACATCCTATTGAAAGCAGCACGACTGAAACATGTTCAAAATGAACCTTTGCTTACATCTCCATCAACTCCGGGACCACTGAACTTGCACAACAAAATTTTTGCCATGGATCATACTGATGTAGACAATGTTAAGCCAACCGAGGAATGCCATGAAGTACATCATGTTGATGAATCTGACAGATTGGTTGGTCAGCTCTTCTGTTCACGTGATCAAGCTTGGTACTTTTACAAGGGATTCGCACGGGAACATGGGTTTAGTGCACGTAAGGGAACAACACGGCTTGACGTGGAAGGGAATGTGAAGACACAATAATTTTGTTGTTCCAAAGAAGGGTTTCGAGGATCAAAAGTTCAATGTTTCGAAGGACCTGATTTCCTCAGAAGAATCGTTTGTTTCAGAAGGAGGTTGTGGTTGAGAAGAACTGGGTTGAGAAGAGCTTTGAGAAAGACCGCGCTTCTGACGCTGACGTTTTGGAGCCATTTTGGTTGGATGCTATTACAATTGGAACACAAACATTCAGGAAAAAAACTCCAATATAGAAATCAATCAAACCCATAAAATATCGATACATTTACCTGAATATCTGATCGTCACTGTTATGATAATGCTAGTATTCTTCGATAGGAAGAGTTCTCTTATGCCTGCTGAACGGGGGAAAACACTCGATATTTAAAAATAGTATCGACACAAAATTAAAAAGTGTCGATACATATATTACACCTATTATCTCATAAATCTGGCATACTTATACCGGTTAGATTGAAAAATTACCTATTACAATATACTTATGGGTTTCGATGTTTCTGGGATCGACACCTTTTATATATGGATCGACACTTTATGGTTGCACCCTGTTTGCCATTCATTCTGGACTAATAGTATCAATACAAAATTAAAAATTATCGATACATATATTACACCTATTCTCTCATAAATCTGGTATACTTATACCAGTTAGATTGAAAATTTACCTATTACATTATACTTATGGGACACAAAATTAAAAAGTGTCGATACATATATTACACTTATTCTATATAAATCTGATACTTATACCGGTTAGATTGAAAATTACCTATTACATTATACTTATGGGTTTCGATGTTTCTGATCGACACCTTTTATATATGGATCGACACTTTATGGTTGCACCCTGTTTGCCATTCATTCTGGACCAATAGTATCGACACAAAATTTAAAAGTGTCGATACATATATTACACCTATTCTTCATAAATCCGGTATACTTATACTGGTTAGATTGAAAAATTACCTACTATACATATGGGTTTCGATGTTTCTGGGATCGACACCTTTTATATATGGATCGACACTTTATGGTTGCACCCTGTTTGCCATATTGTACTACATAAGTCTCGCACATTTGACAATTTGATGACATTTTTGTATAATAGAGACAACATCTCCATATAGTAAGTATCAACATGACTCTTAATGTGTATAAGAACGTCATGTACAACAACCTACTGCTAACTCTATCTCATCATTCATAATTACATTCACATACAAAATTATAAATCGTATACAAAATTATAAATCTAATACAAAATTAACCCTACATTTACATCATTGCATCCTTTTGTTATTCTTATGTCTCATGGCAGCTTTTGTTATCTCCTGTCTTCGTTGATTTTGATTGTGGCTTACGAGATCGTTTAATATTCGCGATCGATCCCACTCTCCAACAACCTATATTCAAATTGTCAGAACGTTAAGTATTGTAAACTACAGCATTCAATCTACGACATTTAACAATTTTACCACAAACGAATTTTTTCTTTTCACTTACAAAATCACCAGTTGCCCCTGTAGAACCGATCGATTCCATCCACATCATCACATACTGCCGCAATCATGTATGTTACAAATTTTGAACACCATACACATGCTATCACAAATTTGAAATTTTTAAAGGGAAACTTTCCTAGAGATCCACAGTATTCAACCCAAATGCGTTCTTATTAAAAAATATAATATTTTAATATGCATTAAAAAAGAAGAAGTTATGATCCAAAAAAGTTATGCATTATAATTTACATAATGTCCTTTCATACATACATACATATCAATCTCTTAGCATCCTCCACTCTCTGTTTAGCTGCTTCAGATGTAAACATACTATCATATATTGTTGCAACACGATCTACCATATCCAACACCAACAGATACAAATGTGAATTATGGTAGTTTATTGTGATCATGATCTGCAACAAATTTCACACCCAATTTGATAAAATTCAACATTCTATATCCGAAAACAACATTTGCAATTGGTATGGTGTCTTACCTTCTCACAGTCGGTGAATTTCACATAGTTATCCAATATGGGACCTTAGAAGGTAGCAATACTCTCAACACTTTCTTTCCTGTTGGCATCTAACGCCTGATGCTGCAATTACACAACAAACATTATTAATTTACCGTCTATAATACTACTTATCTCCATTTATTAATTTAACTCACGCTAAGTGGTATGGAAGGTAGCCAATCCGTAGCGAGAATCAATACCTAACAAAAGTAATTACAATCAAATATTCAATAAGTTTTACATTTTTATACTTTCTACTTACCACACCGCCAACTCATTCCGTAGGCTTCAACGTTGCAACGTCGTATACAGTAGCGAATTGATTTCCCATTGAGATTACAGAATATCTGTATGAATCATTAGGATTAATATGTTGTCATGAAATATTTAAATATCACTCACAAAGCAATATATTTCACTTACCCCGATTCTAACTCACTATTCCATAAATAATCA